ACTAGTCGCCGCAAGCATCTAGGTATGGACGGACGTGATGATCTTTCAAACGAATACAATACCAATCTATTGGAGGGATGGTGAGGTAGAAAGATATTTTTGAAACGCAGTGCGTCGCTTTGAGTTACAATACTGAGAACCTTGAACATACATTTTGGTCTTTGTTTTTTTTATTTCTATCAGTTGCACGAGAACCCAATATTCCAATCATGAACAGCATTAATTTCATATAAAAGGGAAAAAGGGAGAACAGTTTGCGAGATTAGCGCAGACCAGAAGTTGCTCGTCAAATTGACGTGATCAAAAAACCAAAATTTATCCCAATTACCGACATTTATCACCTTCAAGACCACACACATTTTGAAAACCGGTTTCATTGTGGAGTCGGGTCAGCCCTCTGGACTCTTACCCTCGTGACGCGTGACAGAAGAATCAGTAACGGTTTACTTTACATCTTGCCTGGGCGTGTTCTTTATGATATCAGTTACACAGGACGCCTGAACCTTCAGCACAAGTATACAAGTCGTGTCACGCAGCGATTGAGTTTATTAATCAGGAAAGCTGTTCACTCGAATTCCCTTGAAGCTGCACGGATGGACCCGACAAAGAAACCTCCCGCAAAATGCTCGAGCGATGCTTTTCGCAGAGGCTCTTCGGTTGTTTCTTTCTTTTCAGTTCTACTGCTTGTCGCGCTGTTCTTAAGGATGGAAATAATGAACAGGAAAACGGAGATGAACGAACTTCGCATCTCAGCCGTTGAAAGTCACATGAAGTTGTACGCTTTGACGAATAAAGAAAATGAAAACGTCGGGGATAAGACCAAAAACGTCAACAGGTAAGCAAAAACCTGCTTAATTATATCGAAGGAAAGTAGACATAGCTAATCTTTAGCAAGAACATAATTTTACCATAGTCCTTAATTAAGCGTGTGTTCCTAGCAAGACAAAATTTAAAATTACTTAATTGATTTAGCCGCCCTCAGACCTGGCGTTAATTCATGATCGAGCTCCAGATGTTTGAACTTAAAGTATTGATCTGATTAAGGTCACGATAGGCTTTCGTCAACAAAGAAGCTTCATGCATTATTTTGGCGAGATGAATAGTTCAATATTTGCTGTACAGTGGGATTATAATCTTATACCAGACGCGTAAGACCGCAAACAGATGATATGCAGATATGAAATTTCCACCCGTATAAAAAGTAATATAAATTTGCCACGGTAGAAGGAAAGATTTTGAAAAAAACATTTAAGGTTCAAAAGCAGAGCTATTAATTAAAACAAGACGTTTCAGCGGCGACGACATGTCACTACTATAAAAAGCAATTGAGAAAATATTTCCTCTTCGGTTTTAAACATTTCAGGGAACGGTCATTGATACGCGGACTACAGCGGGGTATTTTCACATTTCCATAAATCCCCATTTAAATGAAGCACAAATTATCATATCCATTTATTGGCAAAATACCAATCCTCACTCCATGCTCTCCCTTAAATCCTCAATCCTCTTTTCCTTTAGATTTCATGCTATATTTGTTTAACATGTCAAACATTCTTCCTCTTCATCTTATCAATTTCAAAACAATCTAACACCTCCGGCTAACATTTCAAAGCTATTTAGTTATTCGTCAGAAAAACACCACTAATATTATGCAAAGTCCTAAGCGGCTGGCAATCTTTATCTTAAGCATTCGAGAACAGACCATATGAAAAATTATTTTTTGAGACTGGGTGTAAGTATCTAGAATAGTATTCCTACCTTTCTTCGTTCTACACCTAAGTATAAACTAAAAGAGTATTCTTAAGATAGACGCTGAACACTGTGATGCGAGAGGATACTTATGTTGACGTCAATACTTTAATTGATAAAATAAGATAATTATAATCTTTTTAGCTAATTATGCTGTTGTTTTTGTCTTTTTTTTTTTTTCGCGTGTGATTTTATTCCGGTTGTATGTTGTAAGACCAAATTGGCTTATCCATAAGCTATCGCACTGTTTTTCTTTGTTCGTTTAGAGGTACGCATGCTCTCCAAGTTGTTTCCGCTGGTCAGTCAAACTTGTTATTGAAGAATTTATTTTAATGTTTGTTTCCCTCTCTCCTCGATTAACTTCACTATTTTGCGGGTAGGGATTGTATTATTGTATATTAATTGCTAGGAATTAACAAATTTTGTTGTTTGTTAAAAAACAAACAAACAGAAAACAAACAAATCTGAACTCATGGCGACTAATATACGAGCATTTTGTGTTCGAGTTACCTACCAAGACAAAAAAACAATCAACAACTTAGAAATCATCTCTTTTTTATTAATCTCTGCCATTGAATAAAAAAGGATAAACACATTTTTGCATCCATAAGAAGTCCGACTTACATTTCTTAATCCTAAATTAGAGAGTTTGAGAATAACGTTTACGGCAACCCCAAAAAACCAAGCTCTTATTTTCCTTGTTTTCCTTAATTCTTGGATTAACTCCGTAAAAAAAAAAAGAAGTGCAAAACAATCTCTTGCCCCCAGTCTACACAAATTATAACTTAATAGCTAAAATGATTGAAAGTAGATAATGGCAGTTTGCAGCAATGAAATGTAGTTGTATTCATCCTCAGTATTAACGTATTTAACGTATTTACCGGTAGTTTCCGATATAACAAGCAGCAAATTTTGCCTCAGTTCGACACCAGACAGTAACAAATCTCTGACAATAGAGGACGTGCGAAGTGAGATCAATAAGCAAATCATGAACAGTCAAATGCAACCAGCATCTTTTTGTCAGCCGTCAGGGAAATTCTGCGTCCCAGGTTCTCCTGGTAAGAAAGGGAGCCGAGGTCCCCGAGGAAGACGAGGAGCGCAAGGACAGAAGGGAAAGAGAGGTGAGCAAGGTATAATGGGCTTACCTGAAAGA